ACCTCGGCCCTCCAGCTTTCGACCGAGGAGTTTCTCGACAGTCTCCAAGAGCGGCGAGTCGTCGCCACTTTGGGAGCTCACGGAACAGATGTATGCGAGCTTCCCAAACGTTTTCGCACCTGCGCCTTGGATGGCTACGAAGAGAGCCTCGTCCATGTTGATCTCCCGAGCCCGGGCCTCAAAACGGCTTCGGACTCCAGCATCGTGGACGCCATGGCTCCACTAGACGGTTCTACACCAACTTTGGGATCCTGTTCAATGCGCCTGGGCAACGGGCAAATAGGTCACGTTCTCAAAATGTCTGCGTGGAACTCTCACCGCCCTGCAGTCCGTTGAACCCCTCAAGCACGTATACAGATCCAATAAAACTCGTACAAGACCTGACGAAAACTTCTGATCCCTACAACGCTGAATTCTACCCCCCACCTTACTGCACCCCAAAGCTTGCAACGCCTAAACCCTACAAGTAAGTGCATCAAACACCCCCTAGAACAACCGCTTCCTGAACCTTAAACCTCTGAACCAAGACTCGTAACTTAACACACTCCCTAACAATGCAAGGCTCCGAAACTCTACAAAAGCCCGCAAACAAAACAACAAAAACTTATGATGCATGCAAGTCCTCTGCAAATCCATGAATCATGAAGCCTTTATAATTTACAAAATGCTCCTAAAATGCTCTGTCAAACACCTGATGAAACCCAGTGGAGCACCCACAAAACCCTCACGAAAGCCCGGCCAGCCCTAACACTTAGCTACACCCTACACCATCCTGCAGGGTTAGGGGTTTTTAGGGGTTTAGGGGTTTACCCCAAAACCTACACCCTACACACACAAAACTCTAAACTACACCTAAACCCTCAACCCGGCACCTAAACCCGAAACCCTATGTGCACCCTAAACCCAGCTACCAGGGCCCCCGGGTTTCGTTTAAGGGGCTCCCTTAAAGGGGGTCTATCAGGGATCTATAAGGGCTTACAGGGTTCCTTTAAGGCTTCCTTTTAAGGGTTCCTTTTCTCTAAACCCTAAACCCTAAACCCCTAATTGTACCCTAAACCCCAAACCCCAAACCCCCATACCCGAAACCCAAACCCCCATACCCTCAATCCTAAACCCTAAACCATCCTAAACCCCACACCCTAAACCCCCGTACCCTAAACCCTACATCCCCAAACCCTAAACCCTAAAGCCTGCACACCAAACCCTAAACCCCAGACCCTAAACCATCCTGAACCCTAAACCCTACATCCCCAAACCCTAAACCCTAAACCCCCATGCCCTAAACCCTAAAGCTTACATCCTAGACCCTAAACACCTGTACCCTCAACCCTAAACCCCCATAGCCTAAACCCTATAGAGCTTAGACCCTAATACCCAGCTAGCCTTATAAACCCTAAAGCTTACAACCTAAAACCCTAAAGCTTACACCCTAAACCTTACACCCTGTACCCTAAAGCTTACACCCTTATAAACCCCAAACCCTAAACCCCCGTACCCTATACCCTAAAGCCCTAAGCCCAGCGACCCAGGCTCCCGGCCACATGAACTGAGTGCCTCCCTGCGTGGCCGGCAGCGTCTCTCCAAAGGCCCCGGGCCTCTCGGAAGCCCCGGGTCTTCTGAAGGTGGAAGGCTTCTGATAGTAGGGTTTACATAAGGGTTTAGGTTGCTTTTCGGGGTTTTAAGTTTTTTTTTAAAGGGGCTTTGGGGTTTGAGGGTCTTCAGGTGAAAGGCTTCTTGGTAGGGTTTACATATATATATATATGGTTTAGGGGTTTAGGGTCTTCTTGAGGTGGAAGGCTGGTTCTATAGTAGGGTTTATATAAGGGTTTAGGGGTTTATTGTTTTAGGGTTTAGGGCTTTAGGGGTTTAGGGCTTTAGGGTTTTAGGGTTGAGGCTTTTTGATAGGGCCTAGGGATGCTTAGGGTTGAGGCCTGAGGTTTGAAGGCAGAGGGCTTCGGCTCTCTTGGGTTTAGATGGTTTTGGGGTTGAGGGGCTTAGGGCTTAGAGGGCTTAGGGCTTAGGGTTCCTTCCAAAGCTCTTCAAAGGCTGCGAAATGGGCTATCGTGAGGGTTTTTGGTATAGGGGGACTTAATCAATGGGGTATATTCTAGTTTAGCTACAACGAGCAACGCCTGCGGATACTGTTGCTAATTCTTCTCACCCATCCCTCCCCTGGAACAGAGCTTTCGCTCCTCTCCTGGATGCAACCTCGTCTTACCGGAGACCTCAACGCTGACATGCAAGAGATGTCTCCAGCGCATGCCGCTCCCGTTGTTTGCAACTCTGTGTCGAACCGAAGTCCGTTTCATATACTTAGGATTTAGGGTAAATGGTAAAGCTACCGGACTTAAACTTAATTAAACCCATGCTAAGTTCGGTGCTCGAAACGTCCCAACAGTCTTTAACTTGAAGATAGTGACCCCAAGCTAAACTGAGACCCTGAAATTTAAACACTACGCAAAGTTGAGCTTTGGGTCACAAACGAACACGGACATGTTGGAGAAACCCTAAACAAAGGGCGGCCGAGGCCTGACATGGCGCTCTTAAAGCAACTGCTGGTTGGCCTTCTACATTTTCTGTCTCTACCACCACTGGTTGGGGTTTAGGGTTTAGGGGTTTGGGGTTTAGTGTTTAGGGTTCATAAGGCCTATATCCCTAAACCCTAAACCCTGAACCCTAAACCTCAAATCCTAAATCCTAAACCCTAAACCCCTAAACCCTAAACTCCTAAACCCGAAACCCTAAACCCCTACACCCTAATTAAACCCTAAACCCCTAAACCCCTAAACCCTAAACCCCTAAACCCTAAAACACCTAACTAAGGCGTCGGCGCTCCGCTCAGCGGAGTCCCCGAGCCGCACCTGACCAGCTGCGAGTCGCGAGGCTCTGGGTTTAGGGTTTAGGGGTTAGGGCTTTAAGGTTGTAGGGTTTAGGGCCTAAGGCTTTGGGTTTAGGGTTTTAGGGCTTAAGGTTTTAGGGTTTAAGGTTTTAAGGTTTAGGGTTTAGGTTTTAGGGTTTAGGGCTTAGGGCTTCCAGGGCATAATGGGCTTAAAGAGTTTATAGGGCTTAGGGTTTATGAGGTTCAGAATGTAGGGTTTAGGGGTTGTGGCTGATGGGTTCAGAGATTCGAGCCTTAGGGCTTGAGGGTTAAAGGCTTCGGGGTTAAGTTTAGGCTTTCTTGCTGGAGTGAACGGATTCGCCAAGAACCATTCCAGGCACTTCGGATGTTTGCGCCGGACCACATCAAAGCTTTATACCCGGTGTGCGCTAGGCACTCGAATTGAGGCCTTAACGACCCTCAGGATAGGATCAGGGTTGAGGGTCTCTCTTCATCCGTGCAGGGTTTAGGGTTTAGGGTTTAGGGTCTCGGGTTCAAGGTTTAGGGATTCGGGTTCGGGGTTTAGGGTATCGTCTCGTGGTGCAGGGCATGCAGGATTTAGTGCTCCGGGATTTTCAAAAGCCTCATGTAGGTTTTGCAGCGCTGTTTGAGGGGTGTGCCCTCATTCAATGGCCGTAGCAGTATGGCCACGGTGGTGATATCATCTATTGCCGTGGCAAGAGCAATCAATTTATGGTCGCCACATGGTCAGAACTCAATAGTATGGGTGGGATATGTGGAGACACATGTTTACGTGTACAGGATTTCTGACAGGCCTTATAGCAGCATTTGCGAGTCCTTTTCAGGGTTTAACAGCGACGTTGTGACCTAACCCTGAGCCCTGAACCCTAAACCTTCAACCATCAAGCCAAAAGAATGAAATCCTTCATGCGCCTGCTACGACACCTATACCTACCTATAAGCCATCGCAGTTGGACCCCTTCGGCTTACCCTCAACCCTGAGCCCTAGAACCTTAAGCCCTCGCCGCGAAACCCTAAACCCTACGACCCTGTACCCTAAATGCCATAAACAAACCCTAAACCTTGAACCCTAAACCCTCAGGCCTAGACCCTAACCGCCACAGAAAAAAAACCCTAAAACCCTAGAGGGTAATGAGTACCAGACACGCTCATCATCGCGACAAGGTCGCCATCTGACAGCCCCGTGCCTGACAAGTTCCAGGATGGAGGCTTGGGAGGCCGGAGGCTTAAGGGTTTAGGGGTTTAGGGGTTTAGGGTTTAGGGGTTTAGGGTTGAGGGGTTTAGGGTTTAGGGAGGCTTAAGGGTTAGGCTGTTTTCCTTCTAGGTTTCCCAGTAGCCCCTTAGAAATAAGGGTGCCCCTTTTTCCTACTAGTTGGTTTTAACAAGGGAACCCAAAAAGAAAAAGGGCAACAGAGTCCTACTGGTTTATCTTTTCCTAAGGCTCTAAGGACTCCTATTTGAAGGCTTTTTGGGCCCAAAGACCCTACTATGAAAGGCCTTTGGGCCATTTTGAGCCTTAGGGTTTTAGGTTGTTTTTGAGGGACAATAGGAGGGACCCCTAGAAGGGACCCCTAAACCTAATACCCTATGTAACCCTTATACACCCCTTATATAGTCTCATAAAGCCCCTATATAACCCCAAGGGTCCCTTTAAGGGTCTTTGCTTCAGTCCCTAGATGTGTTCTTTTTCATGGTTTAGGGTTAGAGGGTTGTTTCGGGTTGTAGGATGGTAGGACTTGAGGGTTCTAGAGCTACAGGGTTTTAGGTTTAGGGTTTAGGGTTTTAGTTTAGGGTTTAGGGTTTAGGGGTAGGTCTTTGGGCTGCGAGCCGGATGGGCTTGGCAGTAGTCACCTGGGGCCTGGTTTGGGGGGCCCTTACAGTTCAGACTACTAAATGGAGTTTGCTTTCCCTGGGCTCTGTTACCAGAATATATAGGGATCTATTGTAAACAATAGGGTTTCAGTTTCCTTATTACGGTAACTTAAACTACACCCCTTAAGCAAGAACCCAGCTTCAAGTGCTGCGAGGTATGCCCAGAGCGCCGACCCTGTCTTCTTTTCCGAAGTCACTCCGAACGACAGAGTCCCTGAGGTGCAGATATTCTGCGCCACCCGGCGCCCGGCGGTGGCGTGGCAAGCTTTCATGCTCCATCCTCCACCTTCACGCCAGCATAGTCCACGAACTGAAACTTGCTGTACAAGAAGCAGTAGCCCTTCCTGCACGGATCGGTGTGATCGAGGTCGCTCCAGGAGTCTCCAAAGTATGACTTGGTCTGGAAGATGGCCGAACTGAAGTCGCTGACCATCTCCACCTGGGCACTCTCAGCTCAATTAGGGTCCATCCTTGAATCCCGGGGATAGAGAGAGAGAGAGAGAGAGAGTATGTGTCTGTAAGAGTGATAGAGTGTAGGAGAGTATGTCACTCGAAACGCAGGCCTGCTAGGAGGGAAGGGATGCTAATTTAGAGAACCCCCCACCTGATGCTTGCCCTCGAAAAGCCTTTCGTTTTGCACCCCGCGTTCGAGATTCTCGAGGTCCTCACCGAAGACGCGGAATCGAGCCGTGCGGTTGTTGGCCCACTCCTTACTGCCCCAATATGCCAAGGAAGCAAACTAGATTGCCGCAAAACACCAAACAAAAGGAAACCATTACAAGCTCTGAGCTTGAAGCCCAACTGGATTCCTATATACATATATACATACATACATAGATACATATATACATATATACATATCTGTGTATGTATGTATATATATATATATATGTAGTATGTATATATATATATACATTATATGTAGTTCCGTATATCTGTATGTATGTATGTATGTACTGTATGTATGTATGTATGTATGTATGTATGTATGTACGTATGCATGTATGCATGCATGCATGCATGCATGCATGCATGCATGTTTCTATGTATATGTATGTATATGTATGTATGTATGTATGTATAAAATTAAATTGTCTGTGGTTATGTATGTAGGTCTGTATGTGTGGACGTGTGTCTATGTCTATGTCGACGTCTGGTGTGTCTGCATGTTCATGTGTGTCTATGTCTATGTTTATGGTAACGTAAATGTATATGCATATGCATATGCATATGCATAGGTATATTGTAATATGTATATGTATGTAGGTATATACCCGTGTATGCATGGTTTTATATGCATATCTGTATTTACACACCGTATATATTGGAGCTGTATAGAGATGTGTATAGCTGGCATAAATGTAGAATAGTTTCTCCTGTTGTTTAACGCCACCCCGAGTATCAACTAACATGTTCGTGGAGCACTTGGCCCGGGGAGCACTTGGCCCGCGATGCACACGCTTTAAATGTGGACGGGGACAGTGCGACTGCTACCCATCCCAACCCCCCCCCCCCCCCCCCNNCTCTAGCACCCTATATAGTAGGTACCTGGGGCGTTAGGGCATTATCAGGAAAACGGGTCTTGTATGGGTAGACGGTTGGGGACCTGGAACTGGAAGTAAGTAGCGACTGCTTCTTGGCTTTTACCTATTGCAGACGTACCTGACTAAGTAATTGAATCACGAGGATTTTTTGACGTGCTAAGCTGAAAGCCAAGGCTAACGAGCAAAACGTTGCTAATCAATTACATAAGGTTTTCAATAAATAAGCTTTGATGGGCGGGAGGATTCTAAAGCATGGCACCGACTGCCAAATATTTAAACCCACGAGAGTTCCTGAAAAAGGATTGGGGGGGTTCGCAAAGTGGGAGAACTCCGGAACCATGCCATCGCTAGAGAATCCTTTGTGTAAGGACACCTGAATGAGGTACGTAGCCCCACGGTACCCCTAATATCCAGGAGCCGCACTGCACGATATGCTCCAGTATTAGCGGTCCTATACAACACATCACACCCTTACCTTGAGGCCCCCCAAACGGCCCCAAACCTCAATATTGGGGCCTTGATAATGCCAACAGGGGGGGCATCTATATGTATCAGAACATACCGGAAACAAACCTCAAGAATAGTGTCAGCTATTATTCCGGATTGTAGATTAACTTAAACACTCCATGTGAGCTGAGACTCCTAGAAGACCCTAAAGCCTTAACCCTCAACAATAAACCCCAAAACGTAAAGCCTTAAACTTAAACCCTAAAACCCTAAACCAAACAAAAACAAAACAAAAGCTCTAAGGGGCGAGTCTCCTGGAAGGCCTCGTTGGAGACGGTGTCGCTCAGCTGGGCTCGGATGCTCAGCAGTTCGGCCTTGTCCTCTACCACGGTTAGATTGACCTCAAGGTTTAGGGTTTAGGGTTGGGGTGTAGGGGTTTAGTTCAAGGTTTTCGGGGTTTTGGGGTTCAGGGTGTTGGGGCTTTAGGGGTTTAGGGCTCAGGGCTTTGGGGGTTTATGATTTGGGATTCTGTTTTCTTGGTTGCTGAGTTCATAAGCCCAACCAACAGTGTGGACTTTCAGTTTTAAAGGGGGGTGACACTGTCCTAAAAAGTGTAACGTGCACCCAAACTGCGACTGAGTGACAATTGTGGGGCCCGCGGCCGGGTGCTTGAGATTTTCGGGATGGAAGGCGCGCTCCGTCACCTTTATGACGCCACATTTGGTGCCCTTCTCCTCGGCCGTCCAGCTCATGGGCCATAAGAGTGCACTCTTAAATCCTGGAGGGCTGTTATAAACCCCTAAACCGTGAAGTCTCAACTACTGAACCGTAAACTCTATAGGGCCCTGGATAGGTAAATAGACCCAAAAGGTTCTTAATCCCAATTCAAATGCTATCAGAGTCTCCGCCTGTGTCCAGCTGCAACCCTTGGACATCAAGGTACTTTCGACGTCCACCGAGAGCACCACGAAACCCTTCTCACCATCCTTCTTCACATAGGCCGACATGCGTAGGCCCCAGGTGCTCATACCTGGTTTAGGGTTTAGGGTTTAGGGCCAGTTTAGGGTTTAGGGTTTAGTAGGCCTCAGGTTGGAGAGTTCAGGATTAATGACATTTTCCCGTTCTCAGGGAACATGATTAATCTACTAACTTTCAAAACCATTTAGGTGGCTTTCTAAATTAGGGTCCCTTTTTCAGTTCCCAATATATTCCGGCACCCGGACTAAAAAGAGCTCTAAAAGGGACCCTAATTTAGAGAACTAGCCATGTTCCAAAAAACGGATTAGGTACCGGTGGGTACGAATCCAACGAGCGGGGCGTCCATCTCCACCCTGGATTTATAGAAAACCTTGGCTGACTTCTGAAACCCTCCAAAAAGTTAAACTTTTAGTCTCCCTATTCATATTTCATATAGAAATTCCAAAATTTTAAAGTCCTAAGACCTAAGAGTCAACCAGAAGAACACCAAGAAACAGACACCTGGACGAAGGCCTTGCCGTCGTACACGTCTGGCTCCAAATGCTTTCCTGGGTTGGCCCTCTAGTAAGAATCCGAAAAAATATTCATAAATAACGTCCTCTTAGGCCCAATAAGGGTACATGTAAAATGTCCCAAAGGCCTATAGGCCCAATACGGGAAAATGAGAAATGTCCCAAAGGCCTACCTAGTTTCCAATCTTTTCCTGCAGTTTGGCGGGGTCCACCGGATAGTTGATGCTGAGCGAGGGCTGTTCAGTCTCGCGTACTGTCGCAGCGGCTTCTACCGTGCCGCCTTCCTGAAACTGCACATCTCCTTTGCGCATTCCCTGGACGACACAGCAGAGCAGCGCGAGACCTAGAATTCTCGGACCCATCAGCATGGAGTGGAGATGACAAGCTTGAACAATGGATTTGCTAGACGCAAGGAAGCTCGAGCCCAGTGCCAGATCTCCGCAGCTCAGCGGTTGCAAAGCTACAGCCTAATTTGCTGGAACCCTAAACCGTAAACCCCTAAACCCTAAATCCTAAACCCCTAACTCCTAAACCCCATAAACCTCTAAACCCTAAACCCCTACACCCCTAAACCCTAAACCCTATATACCCTTATGATTCCTGGTATCATCGAATCTCTCCTAAACACCCCAAAACCCTGTTCTTCTCCGAGCTCAGACCTGGACGCTTGGAGCGCTTCTTGGGAAGACCGTCCGAGATACCAGGGAACCGAGGTTTCGGGTTTGAGGGTTTAGGGTTTTAGGGTCTATGGTTTAGGGGTTAGGGTTTAGGGGTTTAGGGTTTCGGGTTTGAGGGGTTATGGATCCAGGGATTTGCTTTTTTGGGGAACTTCAAGCTTTGAGACAGGGGGTTTGGGGTGTTCGGATTTAAGCTTTGGGGGTGCGAGATATCTCTGCTTCAAGGATTTCGGCTTTGGAATGCGCGGCTAACATCGTAAACATAGTGTTCGAATTGCTGACAGGCTTCTGCCAGAAGGACAAGGACAAGACTACCTTTCCCAACGGGTCCTAGGTACTGTTATGGGGGATACTTTCCCAAATCATAATAACAATTCCTAATATAGAAACCCTACATTCTACTATATAGGTACTTTGGACCCTTAGGGAAGGTTCTTTGGGGTCTAGTTCAG